TGCCTTGAGGCAGCTTGCGGTCTCATCCCAAAGCTCAAGCCACTACGTGGACATGCTAGACCAGGTCAACACCTGCAGTTTGGCCGTCCTATAAGCGATACCCGTCGAAGTCCCTAAAAGGGGAAACGCATGCTGAAAACTTGAGAGGGAGACATGCACCTGGGTTCAGGGGTCGACCGTTGAAGTTGAGACCAGAACGAAGGGTGCCATGCAAATGCTATGCAGCAGGCAGCAGAGGGCGCAGTGGCATACAGCCCGGGGCCAAGTTGAACAGGGTTTGTCAGACTACAACCAGAATGCAGATCTTCCGGATCGGCAGGGCATGCGCGGTGTTCGCCAGCGCTCGCACGCTGAGGCAGTGCCGCTTTGGAAGCTGCCAAGAAACAGAAGCAGAGCTGCAAAAGCGTCTCGACTTTTGTTCACATGAACCTTGAAGCTTCTTCAAACTTAGGATTCTGTACAGATCCTTGATCAGGTGGGCTCGTACCTGTGCCGCTCTAGATTATCTACCGGCATCCGGCTTCGTGTCATCAGGCACACCATGGCCTTGCGCCGCGAGTGTGACCTGTTCGGGGGCTTGTTCATGGACATGAGACTCCTGACCGTCCGGCCCCCAATCGACGGCCAGCACTCTGACTGCTTCATTCTCGGACGGTTTGTCATCTTCTGAGGACCAGCTGCATGTAGCACTTTCGCAGTGCTGTGAGGTGCTTCGGTGTAGTTTCCCGCAGTTGGCGTGCAATGTCCAGTCACGAGACTGCAAGCTGACTCGCCAGGCATATTTCAAAGCACGGGTGTTAGACGAGAGCACCTTGCAGCTGCTGGAGTCTCCAGCAGAGGCGCATTTTGTTTGAACATTCCGGACACCTGTGCCCTGCCATGATTGATGGATGCCTTTGGTTGCTCGAGGTTCCTGTCGGTGGCACAATTTTTGTGCGCTGGTCGCAGCCAGAGCTCCAGGCGACGGTTGCTGTCGGTGCCTCGGATTCGACTTTGGCCGGGCTGAGCCCATCTCCTCTCACGTTGCATGAAGGCTGGCGAGCCATCACAGTCAGGGCCACCCCCCTCTGAGCCGCCTGCCCAGCGGTCTTGCGCTGCTGTCGTGTTGGCTCTCAATAGTATCATCTGGAGGTGTTTGTCTCTGCTTGCCTTTGCTTCCGCCTTCGCGGAGCCCTTGGCATCACGACTTCACATCATATCTTGTCATTCGGCGAAAGCTCTTGCCTGCCTCCTGTTCAAGGATGCAGAAGGAAGCGAGCCTGCCAACAGTCAGCCACTAGTGGCACGTGCTTGCCCCAAGTGTGTCTGCACGACATTTTGATGATCATTCTCCAGCTTCAGCAGGTTCGAAGACCGTGCATTTGGCGACGGTGCAGCAGCTGTCTGACCGGCTTGCACAAGACCTGGAGCACTGCAGGCGATGTGATGCAACGCGACTCGCCCGGCCGCTTCATTTTTCGCGGGAAAACGGAGTTTTGGGTCAGGCCAGCGGTGGCTGTCGCCTCGAAGTACCTGGAGCACCAGCTCCGCGAGGCGCCACTTGCGCCACGTCACTTGCGTCACAGTCCGCCGATCGCAGAGACCTCGATTGCTCTTATAACGATTAGCTGATCAGCATCGCGGTTTGAGCTAAATGCTTTAAATGATGTTTCGCATGTATGAAACTCACAGATTCCCCTAATCTGCAAGTCTCGCCGTCCTAAGGCCCTTTGTAAGAGCGGCAGGAGCAACTGAAGCAACGGAGAGTAGCCAGTCTTGGCGAGCTGCCACAAGCCGCCATGGGCGACGCGTTGGCCTTCGCCCTCACTACCCCGCGCTGTGCGGCTTCTCCGAGCGGTCCTAGCAACCTGAAATGCCGCACGAGGCTGAATCGCGCTGCTGCTTGGCAGTTTAGGACAAACAGGCTGACAGCCTTCCTGTCGCAAAAATGCTTGGGATAAAGTGGGTGTCGGCGCGGCGGACAGACTCTAAGGAGCGACGCAGCTGTCCTGGGGCCTTGCTAGCAACATTCCTGTGCGGTGTGCGCAGTTGCAGCGGGCGATCAAAGCGACGTGCGTGCGCCAGCCCAGAAGGACTGCCTGCGCCGCAGCTACTGGAGAGGAGACGATGCACTCTACCATGCACATGACACGTCTCGGTGAGAGGACCGAGTTCGTCCAAGTGGGACTCGGCAGTGAGGGTTGTCGCGATGAGCGATACGCATGGCTTCCACCGTCGACTAAAAGTTCCTGCCGGCGACGCTTAGTGCAATAAGGTATGCAGCAGTGTGTGAAGTTTGAGATAAGGTTTGCTGCATTGGACATTGTCATGCCACCTTCAATGCATGCCTCCCTTGATGACAATAGATGAGGACATTCTCATACACTGCGGAGATGCGCAGTTTAATGGCGTTTCATGGAAGACGAACTTCCGAGGTTGCCTTGGCTGGAAACTCATGCATTCATGCTCTGATTGCTTGTTCCTGCTGTCCGCCGAATGCTGTACACTGTACACATGGTCACCCTCTCCCGCACGTTGTCAGCCGAGATTTCGTCAACTGGTTTCTGGCACTGCCTTTTCGGCACAAGATCTTCGTTAAGGGGAATCACGAGCAGGGCCGAGCGTGGAGAGCTCGGTTTCATGCTGGGGACTCGGCACGTGGCAGAGCCGGAAGAAGCCTCAAATCAGACGGAGGTGGCGTGACGCTCTCGGTGGCTGCTACCTCCGTGGCTCTCGCACATGTGGCGGTTTGAAGGTCTACGGAGTGCCCTATGATTCAGACAGTGCCTTGGCGAACCTGTGTTGCCGATTGTGCCGGATCTGCCGTGCGCAGTTGATCAGGTTGGTATCAGGAAGCGATGTCGATGCAGATTCCTGACGGAGTTGATCTTCTCATCTCGCCGCTTCTGCGAGTTTCTCCTTGGGTTTCCAGAAAGGGAGTGAGAAAGCAGTGCAGAGGAGAGCAATGATGAGCGTGCCAGGCATGAGCCGCCGCATGGGATGCTGGACTACGCGTCTGCATCCAGCACCCGGGTTGCCAACATAGGATCGCAGAGGCCGCTTGCTTCAAAGGAAGCTCCGATGCCTTGAGATTCTGTTTGCGTCGTCTCAGGTTGAAGCGATCCTTAGGCAGACTGGCTCGGAGGAAGAAAAGTGTTGGAAGGCACGATGTCACGATGCATCCGAACTGTGTCCATTCTATGCCGTTAGCATGAGCCACAGTTTTGGACAGTGAAGGAGAACAGTTCCTCGCGTCCATCTCTTCGGTCATGTGCACGAAGGGCACGGACATAAACACAGGCAATCAGACGGTTTAGTCGTACTGCCACACTTGTAGCTGGCCTCTGCAGGAATGGAACACTCTTTGTAAATGCTGCCAACGCGAAGCTTTGCGGCAATATTGTTCACATCCTATCCATCCAATGCAACACAGCTGTTAGAAGTTAGAAGTGTTTGCCTTCTTATTCAGGTCTCGTTAAGATGCTTGCCAGTCGCTGAGGAATGCCGGGAAAGCCGTCGGCTTGCAGTCTCTCGGAGCAAGATTTGGAGCAAGGAGAAGCATGGGATTTGTCCATCCACAGGCATGGCTGCACGGTGCTGGACCTGGCAACAGATGGAAGTGGGGAAGTGAGGGTGCTGTAGGGGAGCTGCACGTGCTCGGCTCCCGGCGGCCAAAGCCTTGGAGGGCCCCGTTGCCCCCCTTTCGGGGCTCTCGCAGCTTTTTGCGTCTCTGCAGAAAAAGCCCCTTTCCGCATCTTTCCGGTCAGCGAGCGCTCGCGGCGCGCCAATCCAGCCCAGCATCGCGCTGCAAGTTCGCTTCTCTTCAAGTTCCTCAGCAGGTCGCCCGCGTTCTGCGCGGTCAAGTTGCGACCGATCCCGAAGAAGCCGATGCAAGGCACAGAAAGGAGAGGAGTTGCTTTCGTCTAGGGAGAGAGCATACCAGACCCGGAAGGCTGGATGATTCGCTGCTAGAGCTGCTCAAGGAGATGGCGGCAGAGGTGTGAGACTCGTTCGGCACCATAACTTGCATAGCTCTGTTGCTTTGGGCTCAGGGGGAGCCCGAGGGGCAAGTCCCAGCCTTGCTGAAGTCCGAGCCAGTGCAGGCGGAACCGAGCGGTCGAAGTACCAGCACTTCTCTCGCTCTGCCAGCTTTCTGGCAGCCACTCGAGGCGATCCTTGAGGTCATGATCCAGCTGCTGGATGCAAATGCAGGCGCCGCCCAGGCGTGGCCTTACGGCTTGTGCAGAGATTTTCAAAGGGGTAGATCATGCGACAGATGGTGCTTTTTCGCTCAGGTGACGCATCTCAGCTTGGCACGCTTCTTGAGGGCAACTTTGAGTTCCGGCGATTTGTTTTCAGCCAAGTAGAGCTGGACTATGTAGATACATAGCGCATTGACCTGCACTGTTGCCAGCTCGAATTCGAAAGGAACGAGCTCGTGTCAGCGAACGCTGCTCAGCCGTTCTTGTGCAGCGGCCAAGGTTCCATGGTGACTTCCGTTTTGTCACATCTTCGAATCTAAATCACTGAAGTACAACATTGGACGAGCCTTCGTCGTGTTTCACAGTGGCTTGAAGCTGCAGAATATGCAGAAGCCACTTTGCATGCTTAAAACAAATGGGTTTTGATCGAGTCTGCTCCGGTTCACCCTCAACCCTCAGACCGCGGCTGGTCCAATAGATGTGGTGCGGTCTAGGCTCAAGGAGAAGCCAGGTCACGTTCCTGAGAACCACACTGAGCCTCCACACCTGCATGCATGGTTTTTACCGTAAATCGCTTGCATCCGCTTGCATCAGCATGTAGAGTCAGCTCTGCGAGCCATACTCAGCCGAGAGAAATGACCGCGGAGGTACCTGATGGCATTCTGCGTGAGCTGTCTCTTCCTTCGTTTCTGCGAGGAAGGTGAGACGGAGCTGAATGAGGCTGACAAGGTACAGCAGTCCATCTCCGTGAAGGCTCTTTGCTGTCGCCTCGAAAAAAGAAGCTCTGCGCTTTCCTACGCCGGAGTGAAAAGCGAGGAGCGAGGTGCGGAGCTCTACAAGCCATGGACCAAGTCACAGCAGTCGTTTTGGTCTGCATCTGCGATTCTGCTCCTTTTGCTTTCGTGTCTTTTCTGTCGCTCGCTCTCGCGCTGTCTCTGTGTGTCTCTCTCTCTCTCTCTCTCTCTCTCTCTCTCTCGTGGAGCGGAAGTTTGCTCAGGCAGCAGAAGTTTCAGGAAGCGCGAGAAGCCTGGGAGGAGGTGGGCCAGCCCGCATCCCCGCACGTACAAGGACCGCTGTTGACAACAAGTGCAACTCTCCTCAGTCAGGATGCTTGTGTCATGGTGTCATGACACCCAGCACCACGAAATGCATCTTTAGTGATAAACGTGTGCATGCAGCAACTCGAATACGATTCGACAATACATGCGGAAGTGCGCGACTGAAGATCTCTCTCTCTCTCTCTCTCTCTGTCTCTGTCTGACGAGCTTTTGCATGCATGCCTCCTTGTAGCTGGCTGCAGCGCTGCAGATTTCCAGCCTTAGGGTCTCTATGTAGTGCTAAATGGTATCAATGTATCAAGCATGAAGTGAGTTTCCGCCGTGTAGATGCAGTGTCCTTGGGCGATGCAGTGAGCAGTGCGCCCTGGGGCCATGGTGGCTGAGGCTTAGCTGTCTGAGAGCTACCGAGCTTCCGCCAGATTTCCGAATCGCCGAAGGTGACGGTTCTGAAGGACCTGCAGGGTGCCCTGGAGCAACAGCGCATGAGCTTGGAGGCATTGCACCGCAGGCCGGCGGTCGTTGTGCTTTCTCTGGCTTTCTCACGCTTGCTTATGTCGCTGTCTACGACATGTTAACTCTCGAGCGCCGCAGCAGGCAGTCTGAGCTCAGCGAGGTCCAGGGTTTCGGGAGGGGACCCTGGCGCGGGAAGCTTCTTGGGAGCTATGTGATGGCAACTGTGAAGGAGAATGCTGCGCTTCGCGAATGTCCTGCCTCTCAGCCGTTCGCGATGAATGTGCTAAAGCTGGAAACCAGAAGCATGCGGAATACGATCTCAGTGCGGAACGGTGGTTCCAATGGAAAATACATCCCCGTGATCCGCGAGGCCTCGAGTCACTCGGCATCCTCTGCGGACAGGTCCAGCGGGTGGCGTTGGCAGCACGCTGCAGCACATCGTCCGTCCTTGGTGGAAGGCATTCCTGAGCCGCTTGCACCGGCGACGCTTAGAGCGAGTCCTCAGCCGGCTTGGAGGCTCAGTGTGAGCTGATTTGTGCGATGTGTCAGACCGCTTCATGGGGCTGAGGCACCCGATGTCGCAGACGCAGGCGACACTCGAGGTGGGATAGGAAGGCGAGCCGAAATCCAGAAGGGAGACGTGACTGCGGCAGGCGGTCCTGAGAACGTCAGAGCTGGCAGTGACCGTGGCCAGCTACAGCGGGCCCGCTTTGTGGTGTCCTTGCTGTGCTATGCTGTGTTATGGCTTCTCGCCAGATCTGCTCTGGAGATTTGAAAGTCCAGGGCCGTCCCTTGTCCTGGAGGCCTTCGTTCTGCCAATCACGCGCAGCTGCTCGAGGGATATGGGTAAGCACGCCCGAGCCTGGAGCTTAAGTCTTAAACTATCTTAAGCTCATATTATCTATTCACCGCTTTACACTTACAAAGTTTTGAAGGGGAGGCTCGGAAGGATCCAAAAGTGATGCATGTTTCTCTGGCGACCTTGAGGTTGGATCGCTTATTCCCGGCTTCTATCTATGTGGTAGGTGCGCGAGGGTCTGCACGGCAGTTGAGGCTGCGAACTTTGTGCCCAATGATTCAAACACTCGCCCAAGGAGGAGCTGGCAGCGTGTCGAACCGGCCCTTGCGCACGCTAGAATGCTTCAGCAGCTGCCTGAGATCATTCTGAGAACGGTCAGTACTCCCAACAGCAGAGAGGGCTGCATTTCGTGAGTCGTCAAGGCCCAGCGACGAAACAGTGCGAGACCCGAGCCCCCATGTTGCAGCCGCGCTGTGCCTCGAGCTGAGAGGGAGAGACAAACGCTTCGCAGTTGTCGTGGTTTGCTCAGGGCAAACGGAAACGGAAGCGGCTGCAGCCTGTCGGGCTTAAGAGCTTGGCTTCAATGAGATGTGAGCGCGGACAAAGCAGCACATACTGAGCCGCACTACCTTCCCATCAGGGTAAAACTTCTGTGACAGAGGGACACCGGCCAAAGCCGTGCCATGGGGAACATCTTTGGCACTGCCGATCATGTGGTCACAGATCCCACTAGGCCTTACTGAGCAAGTCGAGCCAAAGTTCTGCTGCGCGCGAGAACACGTGGGCACCCACCCCTGCAGGGAGAAATACTCACTCGAGGAGTCGTTGAACGCAGCGGCTGATGCGATAGCAGCTGCAGGACAGCTGCGGGCGATTGCAGTGTGCGGGGTGATGTTACCTCCTTGCAGCATGTCAGCATGTCTGCGGATGCAAGCAGGCTCGATGACCGCCTTCACGGGCGCAGGGATCTCTGTGGAATCGGGCATTCCAGACTTCAGATCCCCAGGCCTAGCCGGCTCTGTAGACAGCTCCAGCACATGACACAATCCGCTTGATGCGCCCCGTGCGCCGAAGGTTGTCTTGTATTCTACTCGTCTTTCTCGACTGCTCTATCGAGATCTATCGAGTTTGTTGAAATCAACGGTTATTCAGAATTCATCATTATCTCACTCAATGGCTCCTCAGTCTCGGTCCTGGATCTTTCGGTTCGAGGAGGGACCGCTGATTGCGGATCGAATGCCAGGGTTGAAGAGAGTGCATGAAGTTCTGCACCTGGATCTTCGCGTGGAGCGTGGCTGCGGCCACCGGCGAGAAGCCAGCTCCGGTGGACAAGCTTGACGTTGCGGCTTTCCTGGGACGTTGGTATCAGACGTATGGCAGCTTTTCCGTGAAGTATGCCACGGAGCTGGGAGCCGATTGCGTTTACGTGGACTACGGAGCACTCTCTAACAGCAGTGCCATTTCTTTGGTGAACTCAGTGCAGGTTTTTGGACATAGAGTGAGCGTAGAAGGATTTGCTGTGCCAAGCCCTGACCGCGTTGGAATTTTCGACGTGTCTCTTGGTCCGCCAGGGCTTGCACCCAAAGCACCCGAGCCGTTTCGCAAGTCAAACTACATAGTGCTGATGCTGGGACCACGAGTGGGCGGAAAGTATGACTATGCCGTGGTTACCGATCCGACCTATCTGTCCCTCTACATTCTCGTGCGGGATGTGTCTCGCTTTGGACGACTGCATGAGGCAGGCGTCTTGGACAAAGTCTCACACATGGGATTCACCTCGTTTCTGAACCGGCCGCGACGGACGAACCAACATGGCTGCAAGTACAGCGATAAAGACGGCACAGCCGTCGTCGTATGACGGTTTATGTGAAGCCCTCAGCTCTGCCTGCTCTCTGAGAAAACATGCGCAGTTGGGAAAACGGTGAAGCCGGGTGCTGCATGTTCCAGGGTTTGCTCCTTGAGCCTTTGATGAAACTGGCAGGTGGCCTTTGGTCTAAATACAACCCAGGGATCTACTGCGAGTACAACACTTTCTGCGGCCCACTCAGCATGGACTGTGAGCGTACTTGCTCATGCAAATGCACAAGATCGCCGCACCCTCCACATCTAGCTGCCTGAGACGGTTGAGGTGAAAGTCCACATCTGTTCTGGCAGATGGGCAGAGAACTTGCACTTGAAGTACACCTTGCCAATGGTGGTGCTCCCCACTTGCGGGAGCCTTCACTTGAAACCGGCATTCCATGCATGTTACCCTAGAGCTCCAATTGCTTCAAAAGTAGCTCACTAACCATTTTGAATATTACCCAGTAACCTATGATTTTGGCAACTGGAGTGGTAAGGTATTTACATCATACTAATGTATACGATAGTGTACTACATTATATACCATATTACAGGTATCACTGAACATGAAATCTCTGGAAAGGATGGGCTTCGAGAGGCCGAGCCGAATGCCGCCCACCGCGCTCTCGTTGAGCTCGAAGACTTGGGCAAACTTCAGACGGTGCCTCGCCTTTGAGACTCTGAATAAGGTATAATATAATATGCTGTAGTATACAAAAACTCTAATATAGTATAACGTGATGTATTATAGTATTGAGATGGGGTCAGGTTTCATGCAAGGCTGCTGGAAGCGCACTCGACAGCCAAGGTCATAACGCAGACTCTTGGTTGCGCTGTGCGAGCTGTCGAGGCAGTCGAAACGTCAAGCCATCCGAGGAATATTGATTCTCTCCACCAGAGAGCCGGTTCCAAGAATGTCATCGAAATCCATGGCACCATGGCAACGGTCGCATCCTCGTTCATGCGTTGTGCAAGCTATTGCCGCGATGACTTGAGCCCGTTTGGAATGTAGAGCCGTCCCTGAATCCTGAGGCCACATGCATGTCTTCAAAGAAGCAGGCCGACGTTGCCATACGCTCACATCGATGTATTGCGTTCCGTCAGCTGGCATCGCAGGTAACCCAAGCGGAGATTCTTCGCCGCTTGGCCAAAGCAGAGCCGAGGCCCTCGGCTCCGCATTTTTCTTTTCCCCCAGCATTGCCAGGCCAATGGGTCGCAGCACGCGAAGGGAAGCCGGACGCCAGCCTACGTGCGGACATTGCATCCGTGCCGCTCCTGCATTGGGACGCCCGTGAGCTCTAGAGTCAGAGTGCTTGCTCTCTCCCTCTGTCTCTGTTTCGCTCCGTGTCTGTTCAGTGGCACGGAACAGTGTCTGAAGTCTCTGAAGAGCACAGCTGCTCAGGACAACTGGTACCCCAAACATCCTGAGACAGGTGGTGTTCTTAAGCCGGACGTCACGAGCCTTGCTCCTCTTAAAGGAAGCGTGTGGCGGCCTTTTAAAAAGGGGGGACGCTCTTCCTTCCGTTCCTAACGAAGCCTCCCTCAGGATGTTTGGGGAGGCCCTGCCGGCAGGGGCCCTCGGCCGCTCCTGGAGGGCCGTCCTCGGCTCCCCGGTCTGCTTGGTCGTGGGGACGGGCCTCAACGTCGGGGCCCTTCTGGTTTTTCCTTTGAATCCACCCTGAAAGCTTATGTGTGAGCCCATGGGAGCCCCAATTAAAGGTACCTTCAAAACAGCAGACACCTTGCAAGGTCATGCCGGCTAACATGGTACCAGGACTGGTAAAGTGGCGCTGGGGAAAGCACTCGCCCCAGACGGACAGTTCAGTACTCAGCTTCGGCGCGAGCCTTGTCTGCCTGTATCCGGTGGGTTTTGCGAGGCTGATAATCCTGAATCTGGACCATTCAGGGTCCTCGAGCGCCAAAGCCCCAGCACCTGATAATGCTTTACTCCTTTGTGCTCGAGTGGCAGTGTGCAGTGAGGCCGATGTTTTCTTGCAAGGCTCGGGATGATCACGTAATATTTAAAGAGTTGAAAGTTCAGAGCTCCTTTGTCCCTGGAGGCAGGGCCGGAGAGGTGCTGCCTCGGCTCGTCGACAAAGTGAGACAGCGACTAGCTTGAGGAAGTTTCAAGCGTAACAACATGTGCAAGCTCAAGTCGGGGCCAGCGCGATGGCAGAAAGCCGATCGTTGTCTATCCCGTTCCAGCGGTTGTCTGTTGCAGCGCTTGGCAGAAGCCCAGGCCCACGGACAGAAGACCCATGATGCTCCTGACAGATCAAAAAACGTCAAGAGTCTCTGTTCACTCTTTACAGGCGAAGAGGTTGCTGCAGACATGTAGCCGAGAGCAGAGGTCTGTGCAGCCGTTGCCTGCGGCGATGCGATCTACGCGATAGGAGGCCTACGTGCATTCACTGATCAGACGGTGTCAAACTGTCGAGCCATGCAAGCGCATGGAGCAGTGCCTGCAGCACACTTTGAGCCGAGGGCGCGGCGTAGATGGACAGTCGCTTGACAGCGTGCACGTCTCAGAGTCTCAGATATTGAGAGCGTCAAGGGCGGAGTGCCTCGAGACCTCGATGCCCACTCTCAGGTCTCAGGAAAGCAGAAATAGAATGTGTTGTAGACTTGATGAGCTACGGCATGCCACGGCCATGGCGTGCACCACACGATGGAACTATCGGAGACCGCGAGGTGGAGTGCTACTACCCTGCCAAGGACGTCTGGGTACCGGCCCGCAACTGAGACACCAAAACGAGGCTAAAGGAGGCTAAGACTTCGCGGCCTCGAGGCTCCGCCTCTGAAGAGCTGCAGCGGCTGGCTGGCGGCCTCTCAGCTCAAAGTCGTCCCGCGGAGGCTTCGTTTAAAGAGTCTGCTCTGAGGCCACCGGTGCCTGGGGAGGAGTTTGCGTGGCTGGCGGCGATCGGGATGTCGTCCGCTTGGACTTTGCACCGGCCGAAGGTCCGAGATTCCTCGCATCGACGGTGGTACCGAGGAAGCAAACCTCGACTACCTCGACTCCGTAGAGTTCTTCCAGCCATCGTTGCGCTGCTGGATTCCACTGCCGCCGTCTGGATCCCAGTGGAAGGTGCAAGCAGTCCGTTGGAGGCTTGCATGTAGATTTCATCGATTGAGCGATGATTTCGCGCTCGCGATGGGGTATATGGGGTCTCTTGAGGATGGGCACAGCGCGGTGGGCATCAGCGGCAGCATTCACGGCATCAGCGGCGCCATTCACGGAGGGCGCAGCCTTCGTGGCTGGAGGCTACGGCCGCGGCGAGAAGTTCGGCGAGAAGGCTCTGTACTCGGTCCTCGCAATTACGATGCTTTCAGGCATTATTTTGGAGGTGCTTTCCAGTGTGGAATGTCTCGCCTTGGGCTCGAAGGGGTCCCAAACTCAGATCTTCAGATCTCAATCTGTGCATCAGACATTGTCCTATGCATGGATTGCGATCGAGATGCGAAGGTGGCGGAGACTGCCCTGCTTGCCCAGCCCCAGAGCAGCCCATGCCATGTCTGCGCCGCACACCCGGAAGCGTATGCATAAGCGACCACCACGGCTGATTGTACTTCGTGAAGTGTATGAGAGCCATTACAAGGGTTGCGGGCAAGCTCTACGTGGCGGGCGGCCTTGGTCTCAAGGAGCCGAAAGAACCAGATATTGTATGGGTATTGTCGCTACACTCACCGCTGTTGACCTCTGGATTGCAGGCGGAGCAGTTTTTTTTTTCAGAGCGACTCCCCAGCCAGAGAAGATAGCGTGAAAAGGAACGTACTCTACTATCTTCAAGATGTCCTGTACTTTGGAAGCGAGGGCCGAAACCTTTTCTGGGCAAGCTTCAGCTGCTCGATGTTTTTTTTTCGGCAGTTGACTGGCTTTGGCTCCCTCTTGAAGGGGCTCGGTCAAATCTCTGGGGATATAGGTGTCCTGTGTACTCTGTGCAACCGGACGCCTGATTCTTTTGACTTGTCATCTAGGTGCCCTCTCAGGTGCCGGCTTCACCCTGTGAATTTTCCGGCCTTCCCCTATCCGGGTCACCTTCTCCCCTTCGTCAGTGGCCCTCCTCTTCCACATCGAGCCGCCACCTCGCTGTGTATGAGCAGCGAGGGTGAGAGTGATATCACTCAGATTTCCTTTCAGTTTCAGAGCCTCCGGGGCTTCTGTGGATTTTTTTCTTCACTTCCGGGCGCTCTCTTTGTGGCCTCGAGCCTGCCTGCCGACTCTCCTTGCTTCGCGTTCATGTGCAAGCTGATTCCCGCTGTGCTGCGGAGCTTTCCCCCTCTTCCTCTGGGCTTGCTTTCGAGGACCGTCTTGCCGCTCTCTTCGATGTCAGTATAAAAGCAAGACCCGCCGTCGATGTCGAGCCCCGCCCGGGTTTGTAATCCGTGTTGGTCGATGGTCCTGCTGACTTCGGATTGGCAGATCGGGTCCTCCTGGTGCTGGACTTCAAAGAAGCACATAAACGTGTTCGAGACTGGTTTTGCCCATTGCCTCTATAAGCTCGGAGGCCGCAGGTGCGCTTTGATCACGGACTCTGCCGTGGTTGTGGGATCTCACAGAAAGGGTCGGTCTTCCGCTCACCTTCTGCGTGCCTCGCTGAAGGAGGTCATTACCACCGTCATCGCTGGAGGGCTGTACCCTAGTGAGTGTACTGTTCGGCCCAACTCGTTGGAACCCCTCCGACGACCCGACCCGTGGCGTTCCTGTGTGTCCTCCCGCCAGCCAGTCTATCTGTGCAGGACTCTCACATGAGGAACTTCAACATCCGAGCAGCCTGCGGAACCTTTCACGGCCGCGGGCAAACTGGGTTCGCCTTGCCCTTCTCCTCTTCACGGTCGCTTTTGACCAGCCCTCTGGCCTCGTTCTTGCTTTGAGGGCCTTTCCTTCGGGTTCTAGATTCGCGGCTCTCCCCGAAGTTTCTCCTTACCACCAGCTCTGCCATCAGGCTCTCGGCCGAACTCTTGGATTTCCTGGTGAAGGTCCCTCCTTTGGCCTGGCCCTCTTATTTCTGCTTGCTCATGCTGTTTCCGGGATGCTCATTCCTCGGAACTTTGATGACCTTCGTCGCCTTGACCGCCGCCTTCGTCCTCTTCCTCCGGGCCGTCTTGCGCCGCTTTTTCCTGGAACCTTGGCTCAGGCTCAAACGTGGGACAATAGTATTCCCTCTTTCACCCTTGGATGCAGCTTCTATGCGGTCGCTGGCACACGGAAGACTAAAGGCGGTGGAAGAAAAAGGAGGCTCGAACTTCTAAGTAAGACCCTGCTGGCTGAGCCACAAGCGAGAGCCTTATTCACAGGAACTTGAAATGATACTGTTACAGAGGCACGTACCATGCGTACACAAGTACCAGGACCAGCCCTTGTACTCCGTGGAGCGCTTCGATCTTCACCTGGGCCGCTGGGAGGTGGGCGGAAATGACACTGACAGACAGTGCTCTCCCGACTCAGGAGAAGCGTAGAGTGCTCCCAAGAGTTGCAAACCCCACCACAACAACCAGCACGGTCGTTGAGCCATTGGCTGAGCAAGAAAATCAAAAATGTTGCAACCTTGAGGTACTGGGTGCCGAGTTCATGAAGCTGTTTGCAAAGCTTGAGTCGGGGCTTGAGACGTTGCTCTCCCAAACTGTAGTATTAACCCACGCAGCTGTCAAGTGCTTGCCACTTTGGTTTCCGTGGTGTATGCCATGGAAAGCCCGGAATGCTGCGCGCATGGGCAGCATCATCCTCAGCATGCCTTGGTTTTGAGGGTTGGAGGATTAGTCCTTTGAAACTCTGCCTGATTTTAAGGTGCGTCTGTGGTGCCGTTGCCACTGAGTCGCAAGATTTTACTGGACTTACCATCAAACCTACGGAACTGGACACTACATGCCCCAAACCAAGAAGAAAGGGCACGACATGTTGGTGCAAAGTAACCCATGTATTTCAGGAGCCAGAGCGATGGAGAGTCTGGAGACGGAGAGGCACCCAGCATGTGCTTTCATGAATCCCATTGGTTGACACAGAATCATATGTCCCGAGGACGTGGTGCTTGGATTGAACTTACGAGCATTTAAGACTCTTAAGACTGGCATCACGGTGGTTTTCCACCGCTTCCGTGCATTGCCTGTGCATGTGGTCTGTCCAGGTCCTTCTTTTGGGAGCAAGGGGTCGCCGCATGTACTTTCGTGCTCCCTCTCATCATGCAAGGCCGTCGAAACTGACGTCGTCAATGCTGTCAGACAGCAGGCCCGCCCGGCCCGCCTTTACATACACAGTCTCCCTCATGCCTCAGCACGCCAAGTGCGAGTAACAAGCATGGCTTTGCTTGAGGGGCTACAGGCACAGCGTTGTCTCACGTTTAGCTTGCGTCTCGAACTAGTTCGTCCTCAGCAGCATGGTCATGCCGTTGAGGCAGTACTTCGCGAGAGAAAGTCATTGTCTGTGTCGCAGTCAAGCCATGTTTTCAAAGGAATCCAGAACGCTCTGCCTGTGCGGGGAGCTCTTGTGAAGCTCCGGGTTGGAGCACTGAAGATTACTGAAGCTTCTAGGCGAGATACCTGTAGCTCTTGTTTCTGCATACTTCTTTGGGGTTCGAATTCCTCGGTTGTCATGTCAGGAGCTGGAGAAGAGCAAAACCGCCGGCAAGGACGAGGCCGGCTGCCTGGTCTTCGCAGAGCGAAGGCTCACTGACCAATGGCGAGGAGAAACGGCCTGGTGATCCGAAGCGCGACGCTGATCGGAAGTTGTGCTTTGATGCCAGTCTGGATGCGCTGTGCTCGTGCCATATGAGGCAGAGAAAAACGGCGGCCACTCTTCGGCAAAGATCCAAACTGCTTTTTCTCAGAGGTTTTCATAGTCACAGAGTCATAGAGCAGCCAAGGCCAAGGCTGCCCCCAAAACTTGCCTTGGAAGGCGCCCCGGCTCAGAGCGGATTTTCTTCGCAAATCGGCGCTTGGCGCAGGGCCTGGCGGGGTCTCTTTGACCTGGTGCTGCAGCCGCCCCCGCTGGTGGAGATGATCTGGCCGGGGCCCAAACAGTGACACCGCGAGCAGAAGCTTTGGGAGATACGAGTCGGCCCATTCTGGCGAAGCTTCGAACACGTAGGTTCAAATTGACAACGCAAGGCAGCGTCTCCAGTGACTTGGGGGTGTAGCAGTCTGCAGGAAGTTGCTGCTGACGGTCCTGCTGTACAGCTTGGCCATAGCGTTTGCCGCTGGTCTGAGAAAAGATCTCGTTGGAAAATGACTTGTCAATCTGTCAATCAGGACTCTAGCAGGGACCCCCGAGGGCCTCGGACTCTCGCTACCGATCGAGTGAGGTCACACAGCGGCTAATGCTGATGGGCAGCGCCAGTTAAATTCAAGCTTCGTACCAGGTGACGGGGTAGGTTCAATGTTGAACACTGGGACTAATATTGGCATCGATTCCAACTCTGCGCATGCACGTCAAATCTAACGTTGCTTCTGCAGGGGTACTGCCCTGTGAGGCTTCAGATACAATCACAAGCTCTCCACATCTGCGAATCGAGCTGACAGCCTGCGTCATGCAGATTTCCGTGGTTTCCGGCACGTAACTTTCTTGCATTGACTGAGGACTTGCATTTCGTTGCAAAGTGACGGTTCTCGGTACTATAAGGTCCGTGCGTCTCTTCGACCGAACCATCGGGCAGGATTCGTTCTTTGACGGAGCCTCCTCGAAGGCAGTGACTCGGAAGTTACATGACGTGCTGGAGGAATCAAAGAAGACCGATCCCGTACCGGCCAGGTGTCACTCGTGGACACAGGCAGCTGTCTCCTAGTGAGCTGCCTTGGACCTGCCTCGGAGCCTGGATTCCAGGTGTTGGCACACCTGCAACTTGCAGAAAGATGAAGCAAGCGAGAACATGCCTACCTTTTGGTAGTTGCAGCATGCGATTCCATCGAAAAGCATCTCAGAATCTCAGGCAGGTGGGCTCTGAAGATGCTTGTCTGCACAAGCTAGCCTCAAAAAGACTGATCACCCGCAAGTCTGCGCCCAGGCCAATCTTTCTTTCACTTCCGTCCACCTCCTTCCCGGGGACAGAAGCTCACTGCTACTGGCCGGTGCGAACAGCAGCGTTTTTGGTGGCTTCGGCAGCAGGGAGTCAGCGTATATTGTAGCGGAGCCGCAGTGGGCATCTTGAGCCTAGGCGAGAACTTCTCTGTGGCACGGAGCTTAAAGCTTTGCATCTTCACTCCACAGCTACTGATGCTGCAAGTACCTCTGTGCACTGCCACGCTGCTCTTCAATTCCCTTGTCTTCTTTCTGTCTGTATGCAGACCTGCCAGCTCTCCGATCAGTCTTTGTCAGCCTCCGCAACTGTTGTGTTGGGCAGCAACAGGTGGGGCAGCTTGGCTTGGTGCAGCTGGAGTACTTTCGAGTACCAAAGTTTGTCGCCACGCTGCGGAATGGGCTTCTAGATGTCAGGCGTGGCTTTCAAGATTGCATGTACAGAATGCGGACGAGGCAACCCACACTAGCGGCGGTTGTCGAATTGGCTGGCCAGGTATCCACAAGTATCAGCTGCAATGCTGGATGTTGGAGGTGCCGCAGCCAGTGCCCAAGATCCCGCAATCATGTAACTTTGCAGTTGGACGTTGTTCGTATGTTCTGCTCAGTTTGGAACTGCTGCAACTTTGCCAGAGAGCAGCTTCAGCTTCGTCCCTAATCCGTGGGTCCCGCATGTCTTTCTACGATATGTATTAAATCCCGCAGCCTACGAAGGACAGGATTAATAACTATATGCCGCCAAATGCAGCCAGAGGCTGCGCTGCGCACGGCATCGGAGACACGTCAAGCGATGCGGTCTGAACGGGCTCACAATGCCGAAGACAAGCCGAAAGCGGAGCAGCGCCCGTGCCGGAGGCTGCAGCAAGGACCCAAAAACTTGGCCCAAACAGACGACAAAGCAAAGGCCAAATCCACGGCGAGGGCCAAAAGCATTCACTTCTGCGAACCTGAGTCTGCCCAAACCGACGTGTTGTCTAGCGAGTCTAGTTCCCTTTTTGGCCGACGGTGCTTCTGCGTGCCACGGAACCTGAGAGGGGCTACGAAATCGTTTTGCGGCCTTCGATGCTGCACGAAGTCGTACAGCCTGCAGCTGTCATGGCATAGCTTGGACAGAGAAGGAGCGCGCGCTACTGCCTGCAGGTCTCTCTTCGAATTGGCAGGGAGAGCTCCGTGCGACTTCTCCTCGTGCTTTCCCAAGGCTTCTCAGGTCTCAACGGGCTGTAACCTGAAGTAATCGGATGCCATCAGCTTTCGACTCCCTCGAAAACCAAGACTCAAAGCTCAGAGCTGACGGCCGGCACAGCAATCGTTTGGTCCTGAGCCACTACTGCAGGCAGGTGCGATGCCGAGCAAGACAATGCTTCCGGCGTGATCTTAGGATAGCACATGCTTGTCGGATGTGGCCGGTGTGCCAACATGGAATGACACTTGCCATGACTGGAAGTACACTTCTATTCTTACATTACCCACTCTTGCGTGCTCTCTGTCACTTGTTGGGACAAGGAGACCGCCGGGGACGTCTCTTTGGGAGATGATCCGAACCCCCCTGAGTTCAGGACCCTCAGCTCTGTGAGTCTCAGTCCCACTTCTCAGCGACTCAGCCCGGTTATGCCCGGCTCTTTCCATGGGAGGATCCTTCGTGGAGCCGGTGGTCGCCTCGGAGCGCTCTTCGCGTCGCGGGGTGTCTTGCAGCATGCTCCTCGGATTCCCAATGTCGACCCTGCACCTGCTTTCTTTAAAAAGGAGTTTGGCTCCCCTTTCAACGCTCACAAGATCCCGAGGAGCGCATGGCTGAAGTGAACACCCGGGACTCCATGGGCACAGCAGGGTTCCAGGCAAGGGAAGCTCCATGAGGGCGAAGACATCGAGAGAGGGAGACCCGAGAACCCGGCTGGTCAGGCAGAAAGCGACTTCACGGTCTGGGCATCTCAGAGGCAGGGGGCGGATTGTGATTCTTTGACACCCGACCCGGTGCGCTGCTTGACGAGATTTACTGAAGCCGCAGGGCCAAGGCGGGTGCTCAAGTTCTCCGGTTGCGCGTGGTAGCTCCGGGTTTTGACGACGACCTCGGCCGCTCGGCGAGAAGTGCTGAGACTTGGAAGTCAAGCGGCCCCACCATGGCGTGACACCGGCTTCAGCCGAGGCAGCATTAGCGCAAAATCGGCTTCTGTGCTGCAATGCTATTGTTTGTGAGACATCAGGCACGTCGAGGAACAAGCATGACAGGAGCCATGTGTCACTGCTGTTGCAACTGCGTCTGCATCCCTCAAGCTTGTCAGGACCTTTCCTTTGGGAGAGGTCACCCAAGACAATTTTAGCTGACTCTTCCAAGGGCTGGAGAGAGGGGCAGTGCTTTCTCCGAGGAGTGGCTTTACTCTGCGTTCGGCAATGTCTATATCTGGCATCCGCTGAGTGCCTTCTACTTAACGACATTGAGCATCTTCACGCCAATCGTGAGCCGGACTGATGTGGCCCGGCATGAAAGACATAGCAAGGGTTGATGAGCAGTATTGAGGTTCGCTCCCATGCACAGATGCTGCTCCCACAGCGCACGTTGCAGAAAGAGCTTCAGTAACCTCAGAAATGAGCATGTGATGGCATAGCGGCATAGCCAACTCAACAGCGCTGTTCTTCAACTCGTGAGCTTCAGAACCGAGTTGTGCATGTTGCTGCCAGTCTCCAAAGAGCGAAAGCGAAGGACAACCTAAAAGTCCTGAACTCACATACCCCCCAGCCTGGACCTGGTCCCCAAACCCATACACTCTAGTGCCCCGAGCCCTCATTCGGCCTAACCCGAAACCCAAAACCCCCCTAAACCACCAAAACGTTAAGCCTTCAAGCCCTAAAATAGAGCAGGAGTTTTACGGCACTTTCCTTCCCTAGGAACTTTGCCACAGACACCCCAGAGCCCTAAATCCCTAAGCCGTGGAGAACTGGCGAGGTGGTTCTCAAGTCGACGCAATGTACGCCACGGGTTGCGCAGCTTGGCATCATGCGGCTAAGCTCTTATCTCCTGGTCAAGGTGATCGTATCATATCATATCAGGCGCTTCCCAGCGGATCCTCTTTGAAGCTGCGATGTGGACTTCTGAGAAACCCGTCTGAGGCTGGTGTCGCCGGGCGATTCTTGCATGCCGGACTCCGCAAGGCACTCCGATTAAAGCTTCCTATCCACAGAGGTGGAACAAATTTCGCCCTGCCAATCTCACCAAAGCACGCCGTCAAATTCACTTTGCGGATATCCGATTGCACGACACTCCAGCACCCCTCTAAATTTTTCGACGTGTTGCTGTCTTGCACTGTAGTGGCGTCCCACGCAGATACAACAAAGCTTTGGCCGCAAGCGCTTGCACAGGTACGGCAGCTACGGCACGGATGCCCTTGGTGGCACTCACATGGCGCTCGGGCAAGCGCTGCCCGAGGCGGCTGCGGTCTCTGCACGGTCCGTTTAAGGCCTTCGTCTGGCCCGAACCTTCTCATGACAGGTCCTGAGCTTCAGCAACCGCACGGCCAGCAGGATCTACCAGCTGCGCCTTGGAGTCATTTGGCAGGTATTTGACCTGGGCCATGTCGGGCTCCTTCTGCCTGGCGCTTGAGGCGCTCTGCAACGACGGTGGCTCCTTTCCTGCCGAGCATCGCTGATGCTGTCGCTGCTTGGCTTAGGAGCAGAGTTTCCCCGTGCTGCAGTCTCAGTTCAGCCGCCGACGCTCAGGTCTCAGAGTTCCAGTACAGCGGCCAGTCGGGACAGACGTCTGCACTTCGAGTCCAGCGTAAGCCCGCCTGGTTGAAAGCCAGCTTGCAAGGAGTCAACAGCATGATGACCCTGAACTCTGTTGGTGACCGTGGGAACTTCATGGATTTTCGAAGCCAAGCTTTTGTGCCGATCTGAGTCTTGCAGTGTTCGGCCCGTTCAGCTTGGGCGCAAGCCTTCAGAGGCGGCGATTGCCGTCATTGTGTGCCTGGTCTTGCCATTTTTCATCACGATCCTGGGCTACAGGCCCAATACTCAACAATCTTGGGCACATGCATTGACAGCCCCACACAAAAGCGGCACACTGAGCGTGTCTTCAGCACCCCCAACGAGGTTCTATCAGACCGAAAAAGCCAAGATCCTGGCCGCAGACGGTTGGCGCATTTGGCCCATCTTGTGGCAGGCTTGGCGGTGGGTAGTTTCGGTCATGTTCGCCTTTGGCTCCGGAGATCGAAGGCGAAGCAGAAGGCCATGGAAGAGGTGGCACACTTCGTGGCGGAAGTTCGACCCCAAGAAAGAAGGGAGGGTCTCTCCCCAAGCCGCCGGAGCCGCCCGGGAGGCCGAAGCAGAGCCAACGGAGGCTTCAGAGGCCGGCCGAGCCCCGGAGCAGTTGGAGGCTGGAGCGCCAAAGAAACGGAAGGGGCCGCTTGGAAGCATCGAAGCATCCAAGCACGCTTAGGCTTTTTCGTTGAGATTTTCTTAGCTTCTCCTCTCCCAGGCCGGAAGCGATGCGAGAGAATCTCTTGTCCATTCTTGCAAAGTTTGTCGGGGCCTCTTCGGCTCAGACCCTCCGCATCTCTCGTGTGCGCACTTCCTTCCAGGCCTCGGAGAGCATCACCTCCGTCGCAGACGGAGTGCAGGAGGCCACCTCAAGGTCTCACAGGGGCACAGCCAGACACTTCCTTGCGGTGTCAGGTCGTGGACCAAGTTGTCGATTTTGAGATGTCCGAAGCAGAGAAGGATCTCCACAGCCGAGCGGAAGGATTACTTGGCCAGGGCCCCAGAGACAAAACGGCTCAAGGAAGCTCTGTCACTTGCCGGTTAGTGCGGCTGTGAGGCAGGAGTGCCAATCTCCTAACCTTCGTGGAGTGTGTCGTCTTCCGCCGCGTGGGCAGCCCCTCGCCCGACCGTAGAATCGAGAAGTCTGTCGCTCGGGTGCGCCTTCATTCTGTGTACGTCCGTCACGCCAGAGGCTTGTCATTCTACTCTGATGGCCTCGTCTACGCTTCCCTGCACTTCGGCCGCAACCGGCCATGAGACATGGCGCGGATGGCCCTGTTTCAAGGCTGGTGATTCTCCACTTTGGCATTCTGCAAGCCCTCATGGTACCTGCAGACGCTCGGCACGGCAAATGAAGGAAAGAAGGTGATGTTTGGTCAAAGATCTGACCTGCCTTCCTACAGAGTCGGCTGACGCGGGGCTCTGCCTTCTTCAGGAGTTGACAGGGCATACTCCGACATGCTGCACGCTAAACTCTTGTGATCTTTATGATCTGACAAGATTGGACATCTTGGAAGCCTCCAGGCGGCCATTTTCTTGGTGAACTCCTACAACATCACGGACTATCAAGGGGTGCGCGGACTGTTCAACTTGCTAGGAGGGCGATGATCTCCGACAGGGTCAGATCATGGGTCCAAGAACGAATGAGGTCTACTTCCTTTCGTCGCTGTTGCTTGGGGCAGGGTCCCCAGCTCCTCGACATTCCCGCGCAAACCCAACTTCACGTCCTGGCGGAAAGGAGTTGAACTCAAGCTATCCACTCTCACAAGCAGGCTCATTCTTGCTTGAGCTGGAAGTCACGATTCAGATTGTGCTCAGTGTCGCCTCGGTGCTCACATTCCGCTTCTGCAGGTTGGATCATCATTCTCACGACAGAAGTCTTCATGTGGCCAGGCTGCAGCAATTGAGGGACAGCTATGCTCAGACAAGTTCATTTGGTGACTGGGCAGCCGAGGCTCTTTTACACAATAGTGGAGTATTTGTGCCGGCATATCGATCAGGCAAGCTGAAGATGCTATATTATTATATACTATTATATATTATTATGTACTATTATATACTATTAGCAGGGCCTTGGACGCAGGTCATACTTACACAGACGCAGCTGGCAGCCGGACGCCTTTCAGTTCATCGACGCCGACTGTGTCTTTACGAAAAAGCAGTAGCGCAGTGAGTGCCGCAGATGGCCATCGCATTCGGGTCTTCGGGTCGAAGCTGAGGCTGAATCTTCGGGCAAGCCGATTGTTCCGTGACCCGGCCAAGATCTTTTGGTGTGCTGGATTTTCTGGCCAGCCTGGAGTTAGTGGATTGCGGGCCTCGCTTGCACAGGTGACAACATGTTTTTCCTGCTCCTGATCTTCTTGCACATTGGAATAACGCTGGGTTCCTCGTCCCAGCTACATGTTTCGGGCCTGACTGCACTGCAGCCGCAGGGGTGCATTTCAATATTGCAGCTCCCGTTTTAAGACCTGACGTTTCTGCGATACTTCTACAGTCCGGCCAGCTACTAGTAGGGGCAGCCGCGACGGCACTCAGGAATTGCATTTTCACTCTACTTGCTGTTGGGTGCCTGCGTCACCCCCGAGACTGTGGCACCCGTCCTTATCGGGCTGATCGCCACGCTACTCGGGCTGAACACTTGAGCAGCATAGGTGCGAGCACTGGCCGTGAAGGGTCACTAGCAGACTTGCAGCCTGCAGGATCTATGTTGGAAGGCGCACGGCAGAGTTGCCTGGCAGAGGTTAAGCACGCCAACCACATCCAGTACTGCATCCGAACAGGCATTCCGACGAATGCTCAGCTTGACCCGGTCAGGCTTGTGTTCTCCTCTTCGCGGAGTCTTCAAGCCCAGCTCATGTTCGCAACTTAGACACTGATGGTGGCCTGCGACATGCGAGGTACCCAAGTAGTGTCAGAGCATTCTGCGTTTCGCATAGGGAGGCTTCCCGGACCTAGGCTGATGAGAGGTTCAATCTAATCTGCAGCGCCGAAGTTAGAGCAGGGGATTCCCGCTTGGGAGTGACAACACGGCCAGTGCCCATGTCCTTTGCTAGGAACTCGGTATCCGACATGCAGTCAGACGCATCTACAGTGGGGGAGGCCGGGTCCATTGGAGCTTCACCGTTGGTTGTGGGGCAAGTTATACGATACTTGCAATAAGGAATAAGGAACCCTAAGAGGCCCTTAAAGGTCTACGATTCACTATTCTAAGTGTTGAAGCCCCAGTGTGACCTGTACTGCAAGAGGCCCTTGAGGAGACCTTGACCGAGCTTGGCATCTCGCAGAAGAGATGAGAGACCTCGTTTCGTAGATGCCGCCGCCCGGCCGGCAATTCTGTCTGGAATGTGAGTGCCGAGGACTGAACGATGCGCAAGTTTTACTCTTCTCGCTGGTAATCACTGGAGTCTCGCTTGCATAAGAGTCCATCATGTCCCGGAGATGCGGCGCAGTTGCAGCGTTTGCAGTTAGAGTTAGAGTCACCGTGTAATTCTGTTTCAGTGGCCCGGTTGAGCTTTGCGGTGTCCAGGCACCTTCGCCTGTGCGGTGGCCTTCGTCTTGCTGGGCAGCTGCTTGGCACCTTACCAGGCTGCCATTGCCCCCATGTCCCGCTGCAGTCCGTTGCCTCTGCGAGAGCCGAGGCTCTCTTTTCATTACTGCAGATTCCATCGCCCCCGCACTGATCTCTGGGCTGGCGACGGTCACCGGGGCGCTTTTGCTAAAGCCAAGCCTAAGTCTCTGACTGACTCTGGCTGACTCTCTGTGTCATACGGTGCGACAGATGTTCCCCTTCTCCAAGGCATTGGCAGCCGCACGTGGGGGAGCTGGTGCTGAGGACGGGAGGGGGACTCTGCACAGCGACTGCACGCGTTGCTGCGCATGTGTGCGGCGCACGCCAGCCTGGGATCAGGACACGCTCCTGAAGTTTGAGGCTCTGAAGAACTTCAATGCCAAAGTGCAGGAGGCGCAGACCGCTTCAGCGCAGCTCGCGTGCCCTGCATTTGATGCAAGAGCAGGTTCAGAAGTTCTCTCAGCAGGCTAACGACGTGCAGAACTCGACAGGGGTTAGGACGGCTAGGATCGCTGTGCCATGCGAAGGACAAGTTTTTGTTGCTTCCGGACCAGTGTTGCCTTGGCTTATGTTCGAGTGCATGGCTTCCGCTGTGCGGGTACTAAGCCTGAGGCCGCCCAAGCGGCCAAAGATGCGACAAAGCAGGCGGTGGAAGGCCGGGATCGCCGGGAGTCGGAGCTCCCTCTCAAGCTGAAGTGCCACGCTGCCAGGTGCGGAGGCTGCCAAAACGACAGTCACCACACCGACAACGCCAATCGCAGGAGACCTGTGCATCTTGGGTTTTATTAAAGGTTGTAGAGCAGGGCGAGCCTACATGCAATATCATGCAGTATGTGCAGCATCTATGCTTTGCACGCGCTTAAAGGCTCCCAGCAGTCTCTGAGACACGCATACAAGTGACATGCCATGTTGTACTACAGCTTGTTCTAGTAGGTAGCTTTGCTGTCGATCAAGCTCGTTCTGAATGCAACAGCTCGAGCGATGCGGAAGTCGGTTGCATGCATGGGCTGAGCGAATGCCAGTCAACGTGCTGCGACCATGAACTCTGCTGTGGATCGCTGACTTCTTTGGCACCATGGACCAGAATTCATCGGAGGATCTTGTCGAGCAGAGGACTCGGATGGGGTGTTTTCAGCGAGCTGACAGCGTCAGTGCTTCAGTCTGCAGACACATGCAGGCACTCCTGGCTTGAATGTGCAATGTGTGCAGGATCTCCAACATGCGGAGATGCACTGCCCACTTGCGTGATCTGACGCTTCTCCGTGGCACGACAAGCGCCGTGCTCCTGAACAGCTTCGGCCACGTTATGAAGTCAACGACGGGCGGCACAGGCACTGTTAGCGAAGGCACATTGGGCGGCTTTGGACATCGTTGCACCAGTCACTAGTCAGTCGTTTGTCAATAAACTGGTGTCACCAGGCGAGAATGACTACGACAAAAGTTATGTCGTCAGTGAGCTGGACATTTTCTTATCGCACAGCGGCTCGACAGGACTTACACAGCTCCACTTTGCTTCACGAAGACTGAGTGCAAAACGTTCTGAACGGCAAAGCCGTGAACTGCATCAGTGAAGTGTCAGTAGGATATCCTGAATGTGTCGTTTGCAGGTTGGCATGCTTGCTGGTGGCAGAAGTACCTGACTCTGCTCTACTACTTCAATGCCTTGCCGGCGACGATTAGTGTCTGCCAGCTCCCAGTTCAGCTGCGTTTCTTTTGAGCTTGGTACTCGTAGCTTGGGACAGGACTGCCACGTGCAGCAGCCGCAGCACAATTTTCTGCTTTGATGCTCACCAGCGGCGGTCGAAACCATGCTCCTGCGAGGCCGTGGCAGCCGGATTGATGTGGTGCGCACTGCAGTATCGCATCGGATGTGTTGGGGTGCTCAGCTGGCGGGGCTTCTTTCCGAGTTCGATCTTGTTCTTCATCGTGTTGTCCCATGGCAGAGTGTGTGTAAACAGAGCATTTGCTTTTGTGTGCTTGCCTGTAGGCAGACGAGGTGCTGGTTGATAGACATGAGATGCGATCCAAGGTTCTCTTGGCATCATGTTCGAGCATTGTTGGAATCCTACAGAATTTCCATCTTCCTCGACAAGGTCTGTATCCATCAGAAAGACGAACAAAGGACCACTGCTTCCAATCCTATTTCCAGGGTGATCTACACCGTGCCAAACTAGAGCAATGGTCGCTGGTGGAGATTAAAACTCTTGGCCAAGCATCTACATCAAGTCCACCTTCACAGCATCGATAAACATCCGTAAGCTTGAAACTTTTGTACAATCGACAAAGTCAATCTTTCGGAAAATCGCAATTTTGGCAGAATCGTGAACCTGTTGTTTCGCAGCAACACCCCAGAGGAGAAGTAAAGCCCCGATGTTCCGTAACACATGAAGTGCGTGGAGGACAAAGCGCCAGCGATTGAGTCCCGAAGCTTTCGGCTCGATCGCCTTTTCGACTTCTTTCGCTCGCCCCTAGTCTCGACGCCATGTCAGCTGCTGACTCCTTCGCCAACTTCTTGGCCTCGCCGGGCCTTACTTGTGTGGATTCCTCTACTCAGTCAGTGCCTATGGCATCGGTGATTGTGGCGGTACTGGAGAGCCGCGGCCTGCCCCCAGCCTTTTTCGACGCTGCGGCGGCCATGTTCCCGCCTTGGGCTCTCACTGTCCTTGGGGCTTACCCGTGGGCGGCCGGCAAGGCGGGCAGCAGCGACGAGAGCGTCAAGGCAAGCCTTTCGTCAAGGCACCAGCCAGCATCGGGAACTTGAAGGCCGACTCCGTCCAGATGGATCCTCTTCGGCCACTTCGTCGACGATTTCAAAGGCTCCGACGACCTTCTCGCGCCCGTCGCGCTGCGGCTCAAGGCCTCCAAAGCCCAAATATGTCAGTCCGATGGAATGTCATTACATTTGACAGTATTTTGCGAAGATATGTGATTCTTGATGATTGCAACGTGCCCGAGCACGTTGTCCAGGGCGTCCTGGTTCAGATCGCCGTGCTCCGTGCTCGACTCGTGGCGTCGTCGCAACCACACGGATCATGGTCCTCTACGCCGACGGCTTCTTCCTGGACGGCCATATTCGGAAGAAGGTCGGCAAACCCTGCCTTCGTTTTCCTGGGCGATCACGCCTTCTTCGACTGTAGGGCGTGGTCCGACCGGAGCACTTGGAGTTCTTCGCCGTCGCCCAGGTCTTGGGCTTCGTCCCTTTGGCCTGGCGGATCCGGCCTCATCGAGCTGAGCTGCCTTCATTCTCGGCTCCCGCATGGCGGCGTGGACGCCCGACTTCTACTCCGCTCCGAGGCATGGGCCGAGAACTCCTGGTCAGAGCTTCGATCCTCATTTGCGCGGCGGCATGCCGCAAGGCCTCTTAGAGGCTGTCGGACGGATGTGGCACTGTGGTAGCCGGTCTGGGGTTGGGCGCACCTGGCGGGCCAGAAGTGTGAACCCCGGCGCCGACCCCAGTTTAAGCGGGCATCGTGTTTGGCCGGGCGCAGCTTCGCGCTACGACCAAAAAGCGACTGTGCTTTGTTTAGTAACGCACGAAATTTGTGCACAAACAACCACCAACGATCGAGTCCCGAAACTTTGGGATCGATGGCCTTTTCGACCTCCTGCTACGCCACCTTTTCTCTTCTTCATGAACATTCATACGGGTCGGCACTCACCCAACCGAGGGGTCGCCAATAAGAGGGCCTACAGAAGTGCGGACCGGCGACTCCGGTTTTGGGGGCGGGTCCGGCCGGGCGCAGCTTCGCGCTACAATGGAAAATGGACACTATGCCCGTAGCTTTTGGCTAGCACCTCGTTAGCGCACTGCTTGTTTTGCGACGTGAAGCCCCGCAAGCATCCCCATCGTACGTTCCCAAAATTACACATCCCAGATCCCGTCGATCCACGACTGTTGATGTGGTGTATGAGTACAAATTGTTATGCATTGCACGCAGTGCTAGTAAAAACAACCCAGTGATCGCAGGAGGCAGGGTGTTCACAGTGTTGCTGTCGAGCTGTGGCTCGAGGGTGTCACCCGGGACCAGCAGGGCTCCCGGCCCGCTGGGACTTGGGGGCACCGAGGTGAAGAACCGTTTTCCCCACCCACCCAACCCTTGCTTTCGCTCTCTTGGATTTCTCCAGAGGCCGCCTAAGACAGGGGGGCCTATGGGTTATCCGCGGGATTCCAGTGCTCACCCGGACTGTGTTTCGCCACTGGGAAGACCGCAGCGCCCGATTGCGCACCGCGCCCGAGTGCGCAAAAAGACTCTTGATGCCTGACCGTCGCCGTGGGGTGGGCATGCAAGATATGCCTCGGGATCCCGTTACTCAGCTGCGACTCCGCATGAGTTCGGGAAGACCGTCAGCGCCAGAGCGCAACGCGCCCGAGTGCGCAGCCGAGGAATCTCCAAGCTCAGCCAGCCCGTGGTTGCCCCTAGGGTTACCTCTTAACGGTTGTCCGGGTGCAGGCCGCCTTGGGGCCTGCAGCAAGAGGGACGACTACCCTCCCCAAGGCGCCTCCTGTACTAAGGTACCGAAGGAGGAAAGAAGTAGGAGGGGAGGAGAAGACGGGTGATTTCCGGGGACGCCCGGCGGGGTCACCGGCTCCTCGCCTGAAGTTACTTGGTTTAGCTGTACGTCCTGACCCATCCTTCAGAGAAGGCTGGGTTGGGCGACCGTTGGCTCACGACCAGCCCCCGGGGACACCCGGCGGGGTCACCGGCTCCTCGCCTGAGGTTAAGGGGTTGAGCTGTCAGTCCTGACCCATCCTTCAGAGAAGGCTGCGTGGGGCGACCGTTGAGCAAGGGCTCATGACCAGCCACCTCGCGAAAGAATTTTGAGCATGTGCGTGCCGGGCGGTCGGGTGGTGGCACGCGAGAACTACGGGTTGTTTTTATGCGTCCGTATGCGTTCTTCCACCGAGTCTCAAACGGAACTGAAGATGTGACAATCAAGCTGTGCTGTTCGCGGGGTTGTTTGTGCTCTGCCGGATTGTCGTTCGGGCATCGCAGGAAGACGCAAGGCATCAATGCCATCGGTGGTATTCTAAACAAGTCGCGGACATTGCTGGTCGCATGGGACAGAACCTATTTTTCTAGGCTTTGGTGCAGCTTCGAGCTGGCCGCGTTCTACCACTCGAAGTTGTACGACTCGAAGGCAGCAGGAAAGGTTGTTCTATTGCCAATCATCTTGGGAAAGGTGATTTCGGAGATTGCGGCCTGTACGTGGGCGTTGGAGTTGCTGCGCATTCACATGCCGTTCAATGCCGGTTTGCGGTCTGCAGCGCTTCTGCTTGCCTCTTGGTTGGGTTTCGTGCACAAATCATCCGGACACTTACTGGTTGTGAAATATGTTCAAACCATGTGATGGATGAAGCTGAGGTAAGCTTGGCATTTGCGACGCGGTTCTATGATTTTCTCATCGAAAGCAACGGACTAAAGGCGGAGCTGGCCGAATTCTCTGCGCAGAATGCGCAATGCTTTTGTTGTAGTAATCGGCATTTGAATCCAATTACAGGGGAAAAGTTGTCTTGTGACCGAGCGCTGGTCAATGCATCCATCGCACATTGGCAGCTCGGCTGTGCATGCTGCCTCAGTTGTTGGCTACATGTTACTTCGTTTCATCAACCAGTTTGGTCGTATGTCCGATGTCCTTGACCACCAAGCGGTCTTTTACAGGGGTTCGGGAAACTGATTGCAGGCTTGACGGTAAACGCTTTTTCGTTGATGGTTTCCAAGGTATGGTGACGATGATGTGACGGAGGGTTTAGCCACCTTCAACGATGCTTGGCAGATCAGGCATTTGGCCAAACACTCAAAAGATTGTGGCACAGCCATGTGTGACTATCAAAGGAGTTGATCCGTGGACGCTTCAGAGAGGAAGTTGGGGAAGCCGTAAGAGGGGCACGGATGCCGTTCCACTTTGTTCTCGTGGCTTCCGTCTGGCCTGCCATGCACCAGCTCGACTACATCACGATGAGCGAGGCGAAGGGATTCGTGACACATGCAGTGAAGTCTTTATTGTCAGTCTGCTGCTGGCTTGTGCTGACCTTGGCTGCTGCTGCTGTGGTGGTGGTGGTGGTGGTGGTGGTGGTAGTGGTAGTAGTAGTAGTGGTGGTGGTGGTGGTGGTGGTATTGGTAGTGGTAGTTGTAGTGGCAGTGGCAGTGGTAGTAGTAGGGCATGGGCTGGGAGGCAATTCCAAGT